GAGAGCAACTCTCAAAGCAGCCGCCGAAGGAGCCCAGGCCAGAGCCTAAGCGGAAAAAACCACGCAAATGGATCAGACCCGACGCACTGAACATCCGCCCGGCTGAGAAAACAAAGTATGCCGAGATTCTGCGTCGCATAAAGCAGGACGTCCCAGATGAGCAGGTTCGTTCAACTGTGTATAAGATCAACAAGACCAGAAGTGGAGACTTGTTGATTACGATTTCGAGGAAGAGCACTGACAAAGACCAAGGTCTGCAAAAGACGATCGCGGACATCCTTAAGGAGGAGGCCAAAGTGATTTGCAATGGCCCACAGGAGACTATCGAGATCCGAGATGTCGATAATGCCACGACGGAAGAGCATATTCAGACCGCTCTAAAGACGGAAGCTGGAGAAATTTGTGAAATCCCACTAGAGGCAATCAAGATCCGTAAAGCCTTTAGGGGTACACAGACAGCTACAATGTCACTACCAGCAGCTGCAGCACAAAAGTTACTAAAGGAAAACTGCAAAATAAGGATAGGCTGGTCGAATTGCCGAATGAGAGCAACGAAGAGACCCATACAATGCTTCAAATGCTGGCACTTTGGGCACATCGGATCTCAGTGCAAAAGCGAAGTCAACCGGTCTCAGCACTGCATAAGGTGCGGAAAAGAAGGACACAAAATTGCTGATTGTAAAAATCCAGCTGAATGTGCACTGTGCGTTGAACGGCACGGCGTAGAAAAGGCAACTCACCATGCAGGCTCGAATAGATGCCCCGTCTTCCAAGAAACGCTCCAGAAAATAACGAACCCAAGAACATGAAGTTATTGCAGCTCAATCTTAATCATTGTGAGGCTGCGCATGACCTGCTCATGCAAACTGTGCGCGAATTAGAGGCAGACGTAGCACTTATAAGTGAACCTTATAGACACTTGAGTAATCAACCCTGGAAATCCGACAGCACTAACCAAGCCGTCATCTGGTCCTGCGGTAAATGTCCTTATTAGAGAACAGCCAACAACAAAGAAGCCGGCTTCGTAGCAGCATGGGTAGATGACCTCCGCTTCTACAGCTGCTATGCACCACCTAGTCTCTCTAATAAACAGTTTGAAGACTTCCTTGATCGGCTAACTGAGGACGCAAGAAAACACTTTCTCGTGGCAATAGCTGGTGACTTCAATTCCTGGGCAACAGACTGGGGCAGCAAGTTCACTAATACACATGGAAAGGCACTTCTCGAGGCAATGGCCACACTGGACGTGATCATTCTTAACACCGGTGACACGCCAACCTATACCAAGGGAGAAGCAAGCTCAATTGTCGACCTCACATTTATCAGCAGTT